TGTATTACTGCTTTTGATTTATAAGCATTCATAATTTATTGGCTTGTAATAATATATTGTTACCTTTTATTTGTATCTTTGTTCGGGATAATCGTTAATACCGGAAATTGGACTTTTCTTATAATTATTTCCGAAACAACATGCTATTTTTAAACTAAAAATGACAAGTGGCATGTCCAAGTCCAATCGGTCAACGACTAGACAGTCATTTCTGAAATTTAAAAATTCTTGATATTTGACACAGCTAGTAGATATGAGTTCGGCTCGTAGGTGCACAATACTATCCATCCTAAATATGTTGCTTTTTTTCGTAAAAACTCATTTATTTAAACCTTGTTGTATGACTGATTTTGCAAAGGAATGGTTGTCTGTAATTATGTAGAAATGTTTATTCTTTGTTATGTGTTAAATTTAAGAAAACGGCACTTGCAATGAAACAAACGTTGCGTTTAATTTGAATATCTTTCAGAAGAGTGAGTCATGTTTTCAGTGAGACGATGCGACGCTTTTGTAGACGTCGAAGACGACTGCGATTAGTACAACAACGACGTAGACCCCTTAGCAATTGAAATTCGTTGTGGAACATATTTCTATTATATTAGGACACGATGTTTACCAGATGGAAAGAAAATTTTAATTATTCTTTGTTCTGATCGTATACTTATTTTTTACTTTTAATAACTTTAACGCAGTTTGTAACTTAACGCAGACATTCCGATCAACTAATGTAGATTTCGAGGGTTTTCACAAAATTCTCCGTGTCAGTGCCGCTTCAATTACCTATTTTTATAAAAAAATGTTATCTTCTAAAGGATGATTAGGTTATTAAATTTTCGTCTTGTTTATAACATTTTAGATTAAGTGCTCGTATTTTTTGATTTTACTGCCATATCATCTGTCAAAGAGAATAACTAAAACTAGTAAAATGGTTAATGTTTCCGTTTACAAGGTTCTGAACTAATAAAAGTGGATTGCTACTAGGAAAAAATATATGTGGAGGGTTTACTAAATATCGTAGACGTCGCTTGAGAGTTAGGTGTTTATTATATAAGTTTAGCTGTCTGGAATGGTTACGTTGGGTTACGTCGTGTCTCGCCAGGGATAATTTATATTTTACGAATGCTATTCCTCTAGAAATTTCTTCTCCAATAAGTCAGAAAAAATCAAAATGTGAACGTGATACCATTGTTATTTTGTCGATTTCAAAAGAAGATTCAGTAGGTTTATATTGATATTGATTGTATCGACGTGCTGATGCGATCAATAAGATCGTAGTAGAGATTTACGGTTAGGTGTTTCGATAAATTACTGATTATAAACTTCAGCCGTTCTTTTTTTTTTTAACCCTAACCCCATGAAGTTTTCTGTGCTGTTTTATTGAATTATAATATGTGTACATATTACTACTAACTACCCTTTTGCTGTAAATGAACTTCTTCAGAGTGGTTGTCTTAATTTTCTTTAAGACGTTCATAACCTATAAGATCCATTGTAACACTACTTCATCCCTGTTAAAATTTCAGAGTTCAGAGTGATTTTCCAATAATTGAGTGATTGCAAGGGTTGTTTGTAAACTTTACAACAACACTTCAAAGGTTAATCGCATTTGATAGTATGTTGAAAATGCTCTTGATCGCTACAAGGACTTGTTTTGTGTATTAGGAATAGTAAGGTAGAGGGATATGAGAGACAGGATTTTATTTACGGGGAAGAGAGGATAGGTATAGAGTAAATATTTGTCATGTAGTGATGGAAAATTAATTTTCAGAAATAAAAGCAATGTTGTAAACTTAAATGACAAAACCTCTTTTTTAAAGTGTTTAATAAGATAGGAGATGCTTAAAATTAGATGCGGAAAATGAAAAAGGAAGATTTACTTAAATATTAAAGCAATATATACAATTTAGACCCGAATTTGTACAAAGAAAATCCTAGCAGAAGTAAATTTAGTAGGAATTTAGTTGATATTACAATTTTAATTGGTGTTATAGGCGGATGATGAGGATAACGTGGGTAGAAAAGGTTAGAAATGAAGAGGTATTAGAAAGAATAGGGGAACAGAGAACTCTGTGCAAGTCAATAAAAAATAGGCGAGATAGGTTGGCAGGACAACTTATCAGGCATGAAGGTCTAGTAAGAGACTTATTAGAGGCAGAAACAGGAGTTAGGAGGGGTAGAGGTAGATCTAGATTAGATTACTGTTTGCAAATAGTCAAGGAAGTGGGTTGTTCTAGCTTTAGGAAATGCGAAGTTTAGCTCAGGATAGGAAAGAGTGGAGGTGCGTGTCCAAACAGTCTTAAGACTGACGACCTTATGATGACAATTTTAATTGTAATAATTAAGAAACTTGAAAAAATAAAAAAAATGTCAAAATTGATATTATTGCAAGTTACCTAATAAACTCTACTATTTCTACGACAAATTCAGTCATTTACAATGAAAAATTGTAATTTTTGGGTTATCATAAAAATTTAGTATTCTCCGTGTAATTCAGGCTAGGTTTGTGAACAAGGAATAACCATTTTTCTGAATGTATTAGGGTGAACTCAAGAGACCAAGTGTTTTCTTTCGTTATTGACTGTTTTTTTAGTCACATTTAAAATAAAAACGCAAGGGAATTTTACAAATGAAAATTTTTGTGATAAGCTAAGTCAAAAACTTTTCTTGACGTCTCTGTTTCGTTAGGGTTAGTCGAAATGTGGGTTAGGTACTAGGCCTTTTGTCGCAGATGGAGATTTTTTATGCGTTATTAATTAATTTACCTACAATCAATTTTACCTTGAAAAGCTGCGAGGAGGTATGAAATGAAGAAAAGCTCAGGGTCGGGACGCTACGAGAAAAAGTTGCAAGAATTTGATATATTTTTTAGATAGAATGGGGCGGTATTAGAAAGAGTAGGAGAACGGAGGGCGTTTTGGGAATTAATAAGAAATTTAAAGGTAGCAGAAACAGAAGTTAATAGGGGTAGAGCTATATTTAAATTAGGGTACTGATGTAAGTTTTCGAAAAAAAGCGAAGACTAGTTTAGGATAGCCTTCGGGATTATTATCCTTGTTAAATTCGAAGAAAAAAGCTCGCCAGTCACTTGTTCTGTGTAAACCATAAAGTAGAGATACATAAGTACACACCTCCTTTTTTGTAGTTCACCTTTGGTACATATTTTATATTGGTTTCATTGACCTCTTAAGGGAAAATATAGCGTGACACAGAACTTTCTAAACGTTCGATTCGAATGGGTCATTAATTATTGATTGTTGCAGTATTGTTGTTATGTCCCTTCATTTCCTAGGAAAAGGGGATGTTTAACTCCGGGAACAAAAGGATTTCTGTTTTTATTATTATCGATTCAATAATTTAAGTTGGTAATTACAGAGGATTAGTAGAAAACTATTATGATTTTTTTTGTATTCAAAGTTTGGGATTTAGGGGGTTAATTTAATTTTTTAAAGAATCAAATTTGGGGTTAAAATAGATATTTAAATTTATACACACATTGTGCTTGGTATTTAATAGTTTGTTAATTTTGTTTTAGGTACGATGGCCAAAGTACTATAACGGAGGGGCTTCGAACTGCCCTGGCCCGACTGCGACAAAAATCCACCCCCGGTAGCCAGTCGTCCCCCCTCCACCAACCCGCTAACTCCCAGCCTGATGTAAGTTAAAATATTCTACAAGCAAATTAGTTTCTTTTGTAACTTTTGTTTAAAACATTGTTATATAAATATGTTTTATTTGCATGGTTGTTCGGGATAATCTTTGATACCGGAAGTCGAATTTCCCAGATCCTTTTTTATTATTGTTTAATAAACAGAATATCATTTTTAAATTAAAAGTCATAGGTGGCATGTCTCTACCATCAATTGGCCAGTAACTAGAGTCAGTTGTTTCTGAAATTAATAGACTCTTGGTATTGGAGACAGCTAGTAGCTATGAGTTCGGCTCGTGGGCGCACGGTACTATTCATCCTAAACATGTTGTGGTTTTCGTAAGGACTCATATAAATAATACTTATTGTAAAACATATTTTGCAAAGGAATTATTGTCTCTTACGATATTAATAGTGGTAAGTACTTGAAAGGGAAGAAACATATTGGTGTTTAATTTGAATACCTATCAGGACAACAACGGCGTAGACGACTTCCATTTGCTTAGCCTTATGTAAGCTAAAATATTCTACAAGCAAATTAATTCCTTGTCAGTTTTGCGTAAAACTTTGTTATTTATTCTTTTACTGGAAAAATATTCTCCTGTAAAATTTCGCAAAGTTGGTGGTAAATAAAAGACGAAAGGGCGTAACGGAAATTTAAGACCAACGGCTTACACCCTAGCGCATTTAAACGAACGTAAAAGGAGAAATTTATTTTATTTGTATGGGCTACGCGATCCCACGATTTCCATATGCCAAATATAAATCTTGAAGAAACGGTAAAAAATAAGAAACGAAAACGTCATTATTCCACCGATGATTGAATTTGAATTTTAGGGTAAATAATAAAACAATATTACTGAGTATTATCTGTCGAATTTTCGGTTCCGAAATATCTGCCCAGAGGAAATTTTGCGAGCGATTGATCGAAAGACGTAAAAAGAAAAATTATTAACTCAATAATACTTCCCAAAAGACTAGGATCGATATGAATATGATTTAGGATCGCTCTACAATTATTTTGGTAGTCAAACATCGTCATTTATGTAGGGTCGTAGTTAGAATTTTGTTCGAGAAGGGGATAACGTCTAAATCAATAAATCATAAAACCGCCCNGGGATGTTTAACTCCGGGAACAAAAGGATTTCTGTTTTTATTATTATCGATTCAATAATTTAAGTTGGTAATTACAGAGGATTAGTAGAAAACTATTATGATTTTTTTTGTATTCAAAGTTTGGGATTTAGGGGGTTAATTTAATTTTTTAAAGAATCAAATTTGGGGTTAAAATAGATATTTAAATTTATACACACATTGTGCTTGGTATTTAATAGTTTGTTAATTTTGTTTTAGGTACGATGGCCAAAGTACTATAACGGAGGGGCTTCGAACTGCCCTGGCCCGACTGCGACAAAAATCCACCCCCGGTAGCCAGTCGTCCCCCCTCCACCAACCCGCTAACTCCCAGCCTGATGTAAGTTAAAATATTCTACAAGCAAATTAGTTTCTTTTGTAACTTTTGTTTAAAACATTGTTATATAAATATGTTTTATTTGCATGGTTGTTCGGGATAATCTTTGATACCGGAAGTCGAATTTCCCAGATCCTTTTTTATTATTGTTTAATAAACAGAATATCATTTTTAAATTAAAAGTCATAGGTGGCATGTCTCTACCATCAATTGGCCAGTAACTAGAGTCAGTTGTTTCTGAAATTAATAGACTCTTGGTATTGGAGACAGCTAGTAGCTATGAGTTCGGCTCGTGGGCGCACGGTACTATTCATCCTAAACATGTTGTGGTTTTCGTAAGGACTCATATAAATAATACTTATTGTAAAACATATTTTGCAAAGGAATTATTGTCTCTTACGATATTAATAGTGGTAAGTACTTGAAAGGGAAGAAACATATTGGTGTTTAATTTGAATACCTATCAGGACAACAACGGCGTAGACGACTTCCATTTGCTTAGCCTTATGTAAGCTAAAATATTCTACAAGCAAATTAATTCCTTGTCAGTTTTGCGTAAAACTTTGTTATTTATTCTTTTACTGGAAAAATATTCTCCTGTAAAATTTCGCAAAGTTGGTGGTAAATAAAAGACGAAAGGGCGTAACGGAAATTTAAGACCAACGGCTTACACCCTAGCGCATTTAAACGAACGTAAAAGGAGAAATTTATTTTATTTGTATGGGCTACGCGATCCCACGATTTCCATATGCCAAATATAAATCTTGAAGAAACGGTAAAAAATAAGAAACGAAAACGTCATTATTCCACCGATGATTGAATTTGAATTTTAGGGTAAATAATAAAACAATATTACTGAGTATTATCTGTCGAATTTTCGGTTCCGAAATATCTGCCCAGAGGAAATTTTGCGAGCGATTGATCGAAAGACGTAAAAAGAAAAATTATTAACTCAATAATACTTCCCAAAAGACTAGGATCGATATGAATATGATTTAGGATCGCTCTACAATTATTTTGGTAGTCAAACATCGTCATTTATGTAGGGTCGTAGTTAGAATTTTGTTCGAGAAGGGGATAACGTCTAAATCAATAAATCATAAAACCGCCCCCTCCTGCATTTATTACAATGAATTTTAAAGTATATAATATTTCAAAAGTCATGAGTTGTATTTAGTAATGTTAATACAATTTGAAGACTCCAGTAAAATTTCATTGTTTCAATGCTGTTTTGTTTTAAATCCTTATGCACGTTTGGATAGCTGAAGAAACTCCTTGTAGTGAAATTATAATTATAATTTTTGAGTAATTATTCGAAACTATCTATACACTAGACATGGATATCGATTGTTATTTCATTAGATCTCATTACCACGCAACCAAACGGAAAGAGATCTTTAAAAGCAAGTTCATATAATATCTGTAGTTATAGCGGATTATCGCTGGAGTATTTTATATGTAGATGCCTTATGTTTGATATAAATGAACTTGTTAACAGTTAATCTGATAACGTGTAGTCATTTGAATGCGTATTGTGGTTTTGTAATAATTGAAGTGCTAGGGCGGAACTCGTTAATCCGTAATGATATTTGATTTAGTTTACTGAAATACGTTCTATTATTCCAAGTTCAAGTCATTGGAGTGTAGTACAATAATTTAGAGCAAATCGACTTTATTTTCGGTGTTTCACCAAACTATTCATGTTTAATGCATATTAATCGATCGATCGATAATTCAATTCAGCTATTAAATATTTTGTGGAAACGTTTTATTGTTAATGGCGTAATTTTAGTCATTTAACTTATATTTGTCTAGTCAGTAAAAGTTTCTAATGTATGCAAGCATTAAACTTGTTAACTTTTGCTTCGGAATAGAAACAATACAATTTTTTTTTTGATGACAGGTTATAAAGTCCTGATTTAAAGCATAAATAGTTTATAAAATACGCTGATGCTTCTAGAAGATTTTGAGGGTTTTATTTAATGACATCCTCAGATAAACCCTACAAAGCTGCAAGTAAGATTGGGGCTTTGGATAAACTTTGCTACCTTCCTTTTTGTTTTCCTCTTTATCCTTCTTATATTTAACTACTTTATCCTTTAATAAAACTCTTGTTTGTTTCTCTTTTTTTTTTATTAATTTGTCACAACTTTTAAGGCTTTTAAAACTTTTCAAATGTTTCCTTAATAATCTTTTTGTCAACGTTTGATATAAATAGTTTTGTTAGTTTGGATTTTAGAGGATTCATAAAGGAATAAGGAGTCACATTGTTTTTAAAAGCAGTAAACTGTTTGAACTTCGTTTCATTGTTCATACAACAAGAACCCTTACGTTTAAAGAAACCTTTGCCCAATAAATTATGAATATATTAGAATTTATGCCATACTAACGTTTATTTTCGGTGCTCTTTGTAAATAATTATATCTGTTATGGTATCTCGTATCTTGTGACATAAACGAAAAATTTGAACGAAACTTGACTGAGCTTTTCGCTCAAGTGGCAGTGCAATTATTGTGCCCTACGAATTCATATGATGTGAAATACAGGACAATAAATTTATCCACGGATTTCGTATTTCTAAACGTGAAGTTCTGTAAAATACAATAACACTTGTGAGTTTGTTATTAAACAGCGACGGTCTTGAAATTTGACGTAAAGTGGCTTTTCTATACTAGCTTACATCAGGAACAATACCTTTTTTTACTTTTTTTATTACCTGTTCAGATCTTTCTTGATTTCTACGGTATTCTGGCTTAGGTTTCAGTCTATGTGTCGAACGTGTGAGTTTTAAGATTAGCCTGATGAGGTTGGCATTAAGGCCGATAAAACATCGCAAAAAGCAATAGAATTGAGAGTTCAATAGGTAACTTAATGAAGAGGTAGCTTTAAATAAAATGAAAGCCGAGCTGACAAAACAGTACTGTATAAAAATAAATAAAAGTAAAACAAAAATACTGATATGCAAGGGAAGAAAAAATAGGGAAAGAGCGAATATACGGATAGGAGACGAAAAATTAGAAGAAGTGGTTGATTTTAGGTATCTAGGAAGTCAGATAAGTCAGGACGGAAGAAGTAGTAGGGATATAAAGCAGAGGATAGCGCAGGGGTCGAGTCGCCTTCAATAAAAAGAAGTCATTTCTATGCTTGCGAACGTTAATTTAGAAATTCGAAAAAGATTGTTAAAGGTGTGTGTTTAGAGCGTGGCGCTGTATGGGTGCGAAACATGGACGGTAGGCGCGGCGGAAAAGAAAAGGTTAGAAACGCTCGACGTTTGACTTAGATTAAATAACTGTTCACAAATAGTTAAGGATGTGGGATGTTCTAGTTAAAACTAAAGGGAAATGCGAAGATTAGCTCAAGATGAGAAACAGTGGAGATGCGTGTCGAACCAGCCTTAGGACTGACGACCTTATTATGATGATGATATGTACAGTAGGTTGCCAAATCCTTGGCATTTTCATTGGAAGGTACTGTACCGTACCACTATTTATTACGTTTTACTTATAACAAAAAGATGCTTTTCATATTCACAGTTACAAGAACCACTCTGAGACGTTCATTCGAACCATTCTATATGTATATTGTTGGAAGCCTGGTATTTGCTGCATATAACGCATTTTAATTACCAGAGTATGATTAATTACCTTACGCTAAAGCTAATAAATCATTCTGGAAAAGTTTGCTCCGTATATAAATATACATAAAGTGAAGGTTTCCAAGTTTCGCTGTTGCAGTTGGTATTGTATTTCTTACCCCTAGCACGTATACATACTACAAAATAGTCTTCACGCATAGTATGATACGAGCATTGGATTCAGATTAATTAAAAAACTATTGGTATTGGAGTCAGGTTGTAGATATGAGTTCGGCTCGTTGGCGCACGGTACTACCCGTTCTAAATATGTTGCTTTCTCATTCGCAAGGACTCATTTATATTAAGGCTTATTGCATGATCTATTTTTCAAAGGAATTTTCGTCTGTTACGATATTATTACTGGTACGCAGAAATGTTGTTAGTGTAATATTTGAGAATTTGCAATGAAACAAACCGCTTCCGTTCTATTTAAGGTTATCTCTAACTCTTTATTTCTAGATAGTAATACTGCCATATCATCTGCAAATCTACGTATACTGATCTTTTGCCCCTGTACATCTATCTCTACAGTGTACACCGCATTGAAATTGTTACAATTTCAAATTAACCCAATTGCTATTAAAAATTATTCGAAGACTACCAAGTGGTTGTCTGACTGTATTTGTTCACTAAATCCTCTTGTTTTCACAAGCGCAAACTTCGTTAAGTGCTCAGTCTTTTAATTTGTTTATTTACGCAAACAAACCGTCGAAATTTTAATGTGTTCAAAAGAGGCTTAAGAAATTTGTTATTTAGTTAAGACGTCTTTTTCACACCCCCACTGAACTTTATAGCCATGGAGAGCTTTTATCAATTTGATTGAAAAGGAGGGTTACCAGAGCCCATATAAAGACTACAGATCTTCTTTTAGATCAATTAGAAGTTGAAATCAAAGAAGAATCGAATATCCTTCATGGACGACAAATTAAGTGACTTTGTTATTTTCTTTTATGAATGTTGTGATAAATATTTTCTACCTTTGCATTGCATATGTTTTAATTCCATTCGTCTTTTCTTTCTTGGATCGTCAACAACCTTTCCCACCTTTTCTAAGAGATATCTGAAGACACCCTTCCTCCCTACACTCCAGGTTTGCACCACAGTGCAGGTCGGAGAGACTGCCCGCATCTGCTTGTATAGAATGATCGTAAGTAACAATACTTAATTTTTTTGACGTTTAGAAGAAATGGAGGAAGACGGGGGACATTCTAGCTTTACAGATAACAATAGAGAAAACGATGGAAAAAAGAAAGAGCCCGTATATAGGATTTGTAGATTTAGAAAAAGCCTTTGACAATGTTAAATGGGACAAGATGTTAAATATACTTAAAAATGTAGGGATGAGCTACAGAGACAGAAGAGTGATACT